TTTGAGTTACTATCCCCTTAAAAAATAGTAAAACCTGACAAGGCTTCCTTGTTTTAGTCCTTCTTTACAAATTCCTGAGAAATAAATAATGGATTCTCATTGCTCCCTGGTGCTGATGCTAAACATCACTCTTTACAGTCAAGTTGTCCAACATTACATTTCCAAACTTTAGATACCAAGTACATGTTAATAAAGAGTTGGAAGGTACTTTCATTTGTTGCCTTATCGTAAAGACATTTAAAAATAATTAACTCTTTTCTCTTTTTTCCTAACACTATGCAGTTAAAATAATAGTCACAAAAGCAAAACAAAGGCCTAGGAAAGATTTTCTCCTCTGAGAAGTAACCAGTTCAGTGGAAAAGCCTTAGGACCCTGACCTGACCCATCACCTGGGAAACATAAGGTTATTCCACATCCACTATATATTTTTGTAATTTAATTCATTTTAATGTTACATTAATTGGACAATTGATATTTTATCACTTCTTATGGCAGAAACTCATTAACAGACCACTACTTTTGATGCCAGTAGAAAGATGACTGTGTGCTATTTGTAATTATATAATAATTACATTATTTTATATCTATAAATATATACATATCTCCAATAATAGCATAAATCTCATCAGGTCTCTCCCACAGTATTAGGTGGTGAAACACAACATCAAAAAATAATTATGAATGTATATAATACCAAATTATACATCAACACAACTGCAGTAATTACAAGTACTACTCTTACATTCCAATGTGACCCTGTGTCGTGACAGATTAAAACATTAATCTCTACTATACACTCACCAATAAAGCCTTGTCAGTCAAGATGACCCAATCTCAGAAAATACAGAGAGTGGAATTTAACACACTGAGAACTGTTCGGTGTGGACCCAAAATTTACAGCCTTGAAAACATGCAAGCATTAGAGACATTTGCTTTGGTAGAGCAGCATAGCTGTTTTAGGTCTTTCCTGCCTCAGCTTCATCTGACAAAGCCAATAAATGGAAAACTGTAGCCACTGATGAGGTGATTGATCAGCTGTATCACAGTATGAGTTAGAAAGCTTTGCCAGGTGAGATTCATGTGGTAGAAATCTGCAAAGTTAGGATATTTAGTTACCACCTTTAAAATACAAAATACACTTTCCAGAACCGGCATCTATTTACATTGAAAAAACAAGCTGACTAGCAATTAGTAAATAATTATTTTTGGATGAATTTGGTGTCTTCTTTCTGTGTGAAAATAATTGCATGTTATTCCATACAACTTCACTTGAAAATAACTGGTATTTGATAGAGTTATCATGATTACTATGCATATATTATTTATGAATGTGTGACCATAAAAAAAGTATCTGTAAATGTGATAGTAAATTACTGAATGCTTTTTCAGTGGTATCTTAGGTGAAGATTTTTAACCAGGCCCTCCCAGATATATGTAACTCATTCCCCTTTTTGATTCTCTAATCATCTAGACCTAATGCTTCTTCTTTGCATCTGGGATGGGACTATCTCTGCAGTATTTGGGAATCTCCAAGCTAATTTAAGTGTTCGTCCCTATCTGCATAAAGGAGACAAAGAGACTCACAAGCTGAGCTATTGAGAGTAAGAAAGACTTGTCTAAATATTTCTTATTCTGAGATCTAGCTGTGGTGGCAAACATTCTCTTGTAGTGTTTATCCCTTAGACATTTTCTTCCAAAATCCCTGACTGCAGCCTTCCTTTTATCTGAGTGAAGTGGGCTGCTCCAGTGAGTTTACACTCCAAGGTAATTGTTTCTCAACTAGATAAACACTTGACAGCAAACACTGTATTTCAAACATTGCTAAGCCTGGTACAATCCCCTCTAAACAGTGTCAGAAGATCTACTGTTCACTGCTATGTTTACCACAACAGTGCCAGAAAAACATCAAATATCCCCTCAATTATCTCACCCAGACTGTGATCTCTTCAGAGTGGGAACTCTCTTTATTTTGAATTTTGCATGATAACAGGTAGAGTGTCAGAGCTCAATGATTAACAAACTCTGTTAAAGACAAATCCCAGCAGAAGGCAATACAGCACTGCAAAGGCTGGATTTTTTTCTAAGGAAACCCACATGAAACTTTGGACATACTGCATTTTTTTTTACATGCAAATTCCCATTCTGAGCAAGCATACACAGAAGATGAACACAAATTGAGCATGTTTGCACATGCAAGGGTTAAGAATCCTTGTCAAACAAGTATAACCAAACTACTCTATTTTTAAGAGGCTGTAGTAAGTACATTTCTTTTAGCCATATATATGTATAATTTCTTTTTCCATAAATACATAATCCCAGACTTTCACTAAGGAATACTATAAAGGCAGCACCACCTAGTGGTACCAAAACCTCAGTATAGTATTTTCAATGGCTTCCTTGAAGAGAATTCTATTGAAAACATAGAAGAAACCCTCAGATGAAATTATTTTTAGAATACCTACATGATATCTACATGTTGGGGTTTTTTTAATTCAGCAAGAACATGAATAAATAATGTTTGCAAGCTCTTGGTATACCTGTACACATTTTCTGTTGCAAGTATCCTTTGAAAGGCGAAAAGGTATGTGAATGTATGTATTAATCACAGAGGACAAAGTATGTTTCTTTTTAATGTACATATATATATAAATGTATTTTTTTAATTGATCAAGTATTAAAATAGTTACTACTCACACCTTTTCTTCCAACTTTATTATTTAATACTGCAGGTATAAGATTTAGATGAAAACCTATACAGGAATAAGAAATATTTAGCAGCTTTGGACAAGTTAATATTTTCCAAGACACATTCCAGTGAGCCATAGTTTATCTTGCTTCAATATATACAGTCCATAACAGAGCCAATCACTTTGCAAAAATCAGAAGGGTTCAATGTGTAAAACCAGTTGTTTTCCACAGTGACTGTATTGGCATATGTGTTTACATCTGTGCTAAGTAGCTGTACAGCGTTGTGCCTATCACTTGGTAGCACTTTGAATCATCCTACCATCTGCTTTTCACATGGCCCTGTAAATCCTTTATTGACACTTATGTGACACTTCAGGAGGTGAAAAACTCTCCAATGCATCTGCTGCCATGGGAGCCTGCCAGCGCAAACTGACATTGTTCTGGAACACAAGAACTGGGGATTTGTTGTAGCTCTTCTGAGTTTTTCTCTGGGCACGGACAGGGTAAGTTTGGCTTTACAAAATATGTAAATCTTTAGTAATTATATGATAGCATTTTTTAGAGTTATGAGCATTATGTGACAACATGGCAAAGGAAGGAAAAACCTCAGGGATCAAAACCAGCAGTGGCCTTTTTTTATATATATCATGGGAATAGTACACACATCAGGCACCCAAACTGCTCTTGCCTCATCCCATTTCTCTCAGCTTGCCCCATCCTACATGCAGTCCACAGCTCACCTCTCCAGTTCCTGAATTTTGACCTCATGTGATATTTGGTATAGCCCCACATACACCACTTTGAGTGGCTCTCCCACTCCCATTCCCAGTCCCATGTAACAGCACAGCTTTTCTGTTTCTACTCCAAATACACCCCCAGTGCCTGCTCCTCTCATGGTCCCAGCTGCCAGGCATGCTACTCTCCATTTTCACAGCCTCATTACTTCTGGGGTATTTAAGGAGCTCCAAAGTTTCATTCACCACTGGCATACAATTTTGCTGCAGTTGTGACAACTTCAGCACTGACCCCATAGATCCCTGTCACATCTATGAACCTGCAAGACAGTAAGGAAAAACAGAACAGACTGACTGAATAGAGTAACTTTAGTTAAATAACCACTTTATGGAACTCTTTTTACCATGTTCCATCATTTCGTGGTTGGTTGGGAATATTTTTTTTTTTTGGTCTTCATCCTGTCTCACAGTACATTTATTCTAAACTCTCATTCTCCTGGTGGCTAAAAGCTTTCTGCACCAGTTTATTCATTGCTATTGGTCATACTTGTTTTGGAGAAGCATTCCTTTTACCTCAATGAGTAAACACCTTAACTTACAAGTATTTGAAGAGAACATTCCTGTTCTCTCACAATATTCCCTCTTCTAGACTAACTACATGAAAAATTTTGAGGATACATTTTCACTACCTGTTATCTGATCCAATTGGAAGGAGTAAAATCAACTCAGCAGTTTTGTGTCCAAAGAAACAAGTTCTTGTAAGCCCCTGGTTACAGAGCTTCCAGATGTGCCAGGGCTTGATTTGCAAGCAAACCGAAGGGAGGCAGAGGAAACTATTAACCTGATAATCTTAGTGTTTTATAACCTATTCAGATCAAACTCCATCTTTCTTGAACACTTAAGCACACTGTACAGAGCACTGAAGATGAAGTATCTCTGATAGAGATTGGGGAAGAATAGATGAGACTGCATCTCATACAATGTGAGCTGTGTTTATCATTATTCCAACACACTTGCAGTTTCTAGTCACCTTTGATTACCTAGGCCTTCCTCTACACATTTCATTTTCTACTCTTGAGCTCCTCAAATAAATTATTTTTATTCCCTACATACATATCTTTTGCTATTAAATTCCAGCCCATTTCTCTTACATTCTGAGTTCTATTTTTGTTGTTGTTTTGGTTTGGTGTGATTTTATTTTTACACTTCATACTCTTATTCTTTATATCATTAATACTCTTCTATGTATTAAGCAATTAATCAAAACATTAACATTAGAGTCAGTCCTAGGGTATTTCTTGGGTAACTTTGCCAGTATCTTTCCTTCAGAATGACAGTATCCTTAACATAATATTATCTTGCCTTCTGCCAGGTCATGACACACCTTCAATTCTTGAAAGAATCCCCGTATTTTCTAGCTGGACTAGTAATTTCCCATGAAGCAGTGAACCTTCCAGTTCTATACAACAAGTTAAAAACTTTATTATGCTAAAGAAAAATGCAATTATAAATAGTCATTAAAATAAGACTCAGAACCTGTAAATTCTGTATAAATATTTTATTATGTATAAAAGACAACTTACATGGGTAGATACTCTATTAGAACAATTACAGGCTTTCTGTTATCATGAAAAGATACAAATGTTTTAAAAAGCATTTTAGAATACCTCTTCCATCTTCTACAGTGATGTGTTACCAAGGCACTGATACAAGCAGCAAATGTACTGGAGCGTAGCAATGGCTGGTGTTTCTAATGATTCTATGACAATGCAAAAGGAGGGCACCACAGGGAATCCAAATTTGGATTCAAGGCAGGAGCTCTTGGTCTCCAAATCAACAAAACCAGGCAGAGTTATGGAGTCAAATACTCTTTCCTCAGACTTTTGAACAGACCTTTGCAAAACATCTCCTTTGGGATGTCAGTTGGTTCTGGAAAATGCAGCTCTGTTAATTAGATTTTAGATGGGGACAATTGCAAATAACAATGGGAAAGAAAAGGAAAAAAGGGAATAACCTGAAAAAACAGCATCAGAAGGCAAGCTTGTTCAAGAAATATACCCTTCACAGATTCCCTGTTTTTCTTACAGGATGTATATGTACTCATTACAGGAATAACATTTTAAAGTCATTGTATAAGCATTTAAACCGTTCACAAAACAGATCAATTTTGCTTAGTGTTGTTATTTTATATACCAAATCCATACAAATGACATTTTGGGTTTCTTTTGTCAAGACCTTGAAAAGGCACTACAATAAGGAATCAAAATACTACAAGGATGTGTGACTGTAGTAGTTGGCTCTGTGGAATTTCATGTACACCATTAAAGGTACAGTGTGTTATTTAGTTTCTAACCTGTCTGTGACTTCTTATGGGTGGATGAGCAAAGAAAAATGTTGTCATTTTAAAAACCAAGTTGCACAACTTTTGCTAACTTTGCTTATAGTTGAAAAATTTATGATTATTGGAATGTAAACTACCTCCCAAACAACAGCCAGAGCCTGACATGTAAACAGTGAATTATACATAATTACGTATGTATCATATCCTACATGCAGGTTTGAGTGTTATTGAAGGCATAGCATGGACCCAAGGTATAAGGTTTCTCTCACAAATGAGAATGTAAGATCAGTGCAGTGATACTGAAGTTATCTAAAGTATCATGCAAGAGACAATTTTCTGTTAGTTGTAACAGGAAAAATAAAAACAAACAAGCAAACAAAAACAAACACACAAAACCTTTCAGGTGTCCACTCCTTGTATTAGACACTAGATAGTAAAAAAAAAAAAAAGCTCCAAATACTTCAGTAGTCACATTTTCATCCTACAGAAGGTAACTTTGTATTTGCCTATGGGTTCAGCAAGTTAAAATATAAAGTTTCCAGTTCTTGCTGTCAAAGAACTGTGAAGATAGCTAATAGTAGTATTTTAATTAAATGATAAAAATGCAACAACTACTTGATTTTTATTATTTACATTTGGTTTGGGCATATTAGCTAGAACAGTGAAAGTGGCTTGTGCTTTGGTGATGAGGATAATGCCTGGCTTCAAACTCTCCAATGTGACATCTGAACTTCTATTTTTAAGATTTTAATTTTTTTAACTGTATAGAAACATTTTACGGTGATGATATTTGGGTAAATTTGTATATGTTCTCTATTTCACGTCTAAACAAAGTGATATAAGTTGTACTTTTTTCTAACTTTACTTTTCATATTACTGCAGTAATTTTTTAGTGCATGCTGTTACAGGTTTGAAAAGAGAAGGTGGAATTTTCCCCCAGTATCAATTACTGGGTATTGTGTACCTACAACGAAAGGGCACTCTCCCCCTCCCTTTTTCTGGTGTGGGAGGAGGCAGGGAATAACATCAATGTTATGTCGAGCCTTTTATAAAACACTGAAGGACAGGTAACAGGAAAACACAAACTTACAAATGCAGCTAATTTTCACATATTATATAGCAATCCCCTTGCTCTCAAATAGACTCACTGAGTAGTTGATTTCAATGACAAAACAGCATAACAAAACCATTCAATGACATTAACATGTGAATTTACGTTTGGTTGTTTGGAGTTTGTTGTGGTTTTTTTTTTCAATGCATGTGTTATTACTAGAAGTCTTTCCAGGTAAAAGGAGATTCCCGGTGCAAGGAGGAATTTTTTCAGCATATATTTCCATATGTGTAAATAACTATTACAGGAGAGATAATTTCTCTTACATACTGCTACAACTAAGGCAAAACTTAATACTTCATCATTTTGCCAAATACCTACAAACCAGCCAACAAGCATGTTTAGACATCCCTAAGATGCAAGTCTGTTTCCATGAAAATTGCATAAGTATTTCCAAAATATCCAAGTCTCACTTTCTGTCAGAAAATCTCATATTGATGGAGCTTCCAGGAATCAAAAGTCCATGGGTTTTGGCATGAACTGGTTCAGTTTTTGGAGAAATTTTGATCTCAAAATTCTGAAGTAACTGTGAAGATAAACAAGATAAGTATTAGAAAAGCTGAAAAATTACAGATGAGGATTAGCCTTTGAAAAAGAAGACATAACAGACAGTCACAAAAAAAAAATTTGTGTTGCCATTTCTGCAAAGTTGAAGTGTTATGATTCCCACGCAGGAAAGAGAAAATAGGTGTTATAAGGTAAAGATTATAGTTCAAAATCTTCCTCCTAATTGCAGGAAGACTGGTCCAGTTTTTTTGGAGGAACTCCCACGTAACTACAGTAAAAATCTGAGCTATCAAAGAAACTAAGGTCTTTTTCAAACCTTGTGAGCTTCATCTCTATGTATTTCAGATTTCACTTCCTTTAATATCAATCAGTATGTGCAATTATAAAGAAAGCAATAAGAGTCCCAATCCCATCAGACATATTTTTCTTCCTGGGCAGATGGAAACAAACCAAAAATGACAAAAAAACTGTCCAGTGCACTAAGTGAAACAATCATTAATGAAGGAGTCAAATATTAGAACCTCTCCTGAGCAGAGTCACTATAATTTCACCACACAATTTTTCTATGCATGAAACCTCTTAATGAAACTGTGATAATCACTTGTAAACATAAATTAGTGTGCTTGTTTGGGCTGGGACAGAGCTAATTTTCTTCACAGCTGCTGGTATGGGGCTGTGTTTTGAATCTGTACTGAACACAGGGGTGATAATACAGAGATGGTTTTGTTATTGCTGAGCAGGGCTTACACAGAGCCAAGACCTTTTCTGCTTTTCCTACTGCCACGCTGGTGAGGAAGCTGGGGATGCATGGGAAGCTGGGAGGAGACACAGCCAGGACAGGTGACCCCTATTGATCAAAGGGATATTCCAAACCATATGACATCATACTCAGTATTTAAAGTGGGGGGAAGAAGGAGGAAGGGGGAGTGTTTGGAGTGATGGTGTTTGTCCTTCCAAGTAGCCATTACATGTGATGAGGCCCTGCTCTCCTGGAGGTGGCTGAACACCTGCTGGCCTACGGGAAGCAGTGAATTAATTCCTTGTTTTCCTTTGTTTGTTTGGGCAGCTTTTACTTTCCATATTAACCTGTCTTTACCTCAACTCACGAGTTTTCCAGCTTTCACACTTCCAGTTCTCTCCCTGATCCCGCTGGTGGGGGTGTGAGTGAGCTGCTGTGGGGGCTTGGTTTTTGCCTGGGATTAAACTGTGACAATCATAGAAATCATGGGCTAAAACAAACTTCAAGAGATTTATCTCACCCATTTTGAAGTTGAACAAAGACTACATCAGCTATCTATTTTTAAACTTTCAGGAGGGAAATACCACAACTTCCTCAACTTTTCCTAATATGAAATCTCAAACATTTTTTCCAATAAACTAAGTAATCTTCTCTTATCCTTTTCTTAAAAAGCATGATGAACAATGCATTATTTTCCTATTCATAACTTCCTTTTCATTTTTACATGCTTGAGGAAATTTTCATCCAATTCTTCTCTTTTTCAAAATTTTGTTTCTTGTTATTCTCTTTGTCTTTCAAATTTCCTCAAATTTGACTAAATTGTCCTTAAAATGCAGCACACAGGGTCAGTTGCATACCATTGCATAGCTGAGGACTCATTAGTGTTCTGTAAGACTGAGTAATTTAGCTCCTCTTTCTGACACACAACATGCTCACTAATGCTGTTAATATACCCTAGAATCACATTGCCTTATCAGAATTAGCATTATTGTTGATCAGATTTTTACTATGTCCCTCCAGTCTGCTTCTATGGTACTAATTACCCAGACAGTTGGTCAGAAATTTGTATTTGTGCATTTATTTCTTCTCAAGAGCATTAACTTGCAACTGTCCCTAGTGAACAATTTACTGTTGCTTCTGGAACATTTCTCCTTTTCTTCATAATTTTATGTTCATATCCCCTGATTTTAACTTAATTCACATCTGCTTGGTATCCCACGGAAACTCTAAAAGTATTCTCTAATCCATCATTTACACTGTTAATGAAAATACCAACCTAAATCAAATGCAGAACAGACCTTTATAGAATTTTAATTAAATGCTTTTCCAGTTCAACAGCAAATATTTGATAGTTACTGCCTCCAGCTATTTCCTTTTTCCAACTAGCTGTGCATATATTTTATAGGTACTTCCATCTGGAACAAATTTTATTAATCTAATTGAGAGAACAATGTATAGGATGTGTGAAAATACTTCCTGAAGTCAGAGTACATGACTTACTTTATACCCTCTACATTAGGTAAGTGATCAAGTCAAAGAAAGAAATCAGACTAGTCTGAAACAATTTCTCCTTGATGACCTCCATGCTTTGTGTGTTTCTAGTTTTAAATCTCATACGTATCATCTCAGTGTTTGTATATAGGCTGTGGGCTATTTTGGAATAGTTTCTTTCCAGAAAACAAAAGCAGGTTCTCCATTTCTTCCTTGAGCCTCCTTTTCTAAAAGATGCAAGCATGTTTGTTTTATCCAGCCCCCTGAGAGCTATCTCACTCCCGGTTCTGAAAGACAGGTGCTAATTGTTTCAGAGATTGTTCCAGGAGTTTAATTAAGGAAATTCTAAGGCAAATTTAATCAAGCTTTGCTATGAACACTTACAAAGGTATAAGTATTTTTATCCTTAAGTAACTAAAAATGGTTTCCAAATCGTTGAGTTTTAATTGTGCAGTCTGACCTCATTGTTTGAGCTAAAGGGCATCTTGTAAATGACAAATAATGACAAATAAAGAAAGCTATTAGGAATGCTTTCTTTATGATATGAGCCAATTGAAAACAATACGTATCAATAGGTACTAACTACCTATATAACTATAAATTGTGTATACATAAAATGATATTAAATTTAGAAGAAAGAACAAGAAGAGACAAAAAAACATGGAGCATAAAAGAATTCTACGATTTCTTGTCACACATTTGTTGTACTGTGATCAGTACAAGGATATAAAATCTATTTTACATCTCTGTAAGTACTGAATTCTTCTAAGATACTGAAACTGAGCAGGTAGGCATTCTAATAGACATTAAGAAAGGCTTCCAATGCACTTACAAAAACCTTCTGTACCAAATCCATGTTTCCTTAACCAACTTACCTTTAGTCTTACTTCATGTGCACTATAATTTTTTTCCCTTCTGCAATGTAGTTTAACAGTAATGCTACATTTCAAGCACGATTGTTTTCAATTTTCTAAGCCTTTGCAGTATAAGTACATTAGACAACGCTCCAAAACAAAGTTTTTGAGCACTCTAAGACACCCAGAAATGATATATGCAGAAAAAAAAATCATATCAATTTATTTTTCTTCCTGTAATGCTGTCACATTGTTCTAACCTGAATCAGTGCAAGATGAATTTCCAGCTCTGCAATTCTTTTCCCTATACAGCTTCGAATGCCATAGCCAAAGGGGATGGAACCAAAGTTGTCTACTCTGTCCAAGTTATCTTTCCTCAGCCAGCGCTGGGGTCGGAACTCATTCGCCATTGAGAAATATTCTTCGCTGTATGAAGTAGTGTAATGACAAAGTGCCAGCTGCGTCTGAGGAAACAAATTATACTCATATTTAGCTAACTTCAATATGCATAACAAAATTAAAATGCAATTAATGTAATTTCTGCAATATGAGGTGATAGAAATTAAGCATCGCTGAGTAATTCTAGAAGAAAAAAAGGATATCTAGAAAAATCAAATCCCTTTCTCAACTCATCAAATGAAATAATCTTCAAAGTGTTTTGAATGTTGCCAGGTATATTAAAGAAGATGAAGTGGGGAAGGAGATGTGAACAAAAGTCACAAGTATCAGAAATTGTTTCACAAAGCTGGTATGAAAGAAAGGGAGGAGAGATTTTAGACAATTGAAAAGGAAAAAAGAGAGGATAGGAATCAAAAAACCCCACAACATTCCGGGGGGGGACCCCAAAACCCAGCAATAATTGATGTCACAATGTTTCCAATTATATCCAGAGAGGGAATCAGGGGGAAGATGTGTATGGAATAATATTTAAATAAATATATTACCAATAAGGAATCCTGACTCTTTCAAAGGTACATTGTTATAACACAGGATTGCTGTCATTTAAAATAAAACCATGCAATTCTACCCTGACCTCTGTGTAATCTTTGAATAGTATAAGGGAAAGACTGATAATTTAAAAAGGAAATTAAACTCTTTCTACAAGAAGAGTTAACAGGCAAAGAATTAGAAAACTGCAAGGATAATAAAATTCATACTTTTAAAACTGAATTGTAGCACTACACAGATGTTTTCAATAGGCGCCACCCTCAAGAACATTAAGAACAAGTCATGATAGTAAGTTTGATTTGTTGGTGAGCACCCAACTAAAAAATATGAAAACAACAACAACAAGCCAATTATATAATCCATTCATGGCATATAAATGGCTGTTACTTAAATATTTTCCTCTCAATGTTCTAGCTTGGTGAAATCTTTTGCAAATCAATGGAGTGTGTATATGTTGTAGCAGATCACATTTCATACAAAAAATTAAACTGTGCTCTTTGCTGAGGACTGCAAAAAACCCCTACCCCTTTAGGTATAAAGTATCCTCCAATGATCAAGTCTTTTTGGGTCACTCTTCCATTTCCTGGCAATACTGGATATAACCTAGAGGGAAATATTCATCAGAAGTTCAGTAGTAATGACTAATGCAATTAAAAAATGTTTAGATTCCAATTTGTATTCACAGATACATGATATGAATGCCATAATCATTCACAGTAAAAAGATTCTTCAGAAGTACAGAACACCTTGGGGATTCAAAGACCTTGAATCATCTCTGAGAATATGATCATTACCTGAGAAAAGTTATTTACTAGTAACAGGAGGTTGAGATATTTGGTCTATATATTTATAGACCAAGCATGCAATTAGTTGGTCAAGAGGGATATATTTTAGAACTAATGCTAAAGCTGAAAAGGCTTTGTTGATGCCTTCTCTAAAATTCTCTTATTCCCCTCACCTCACAAAGAACATTTATTATAAATATATTTTCAAAAGTATGTCACATGCCTTTAATTTAAATCAAGAAGCTTAAAATCATTGAAGTGACACTGCAAACTACCAGTGTTGGGGAGGAGGTTGTTACACTTCATCCTACAAACTAAGGGCAAAAATCAAGCTTTCAATTATTTATGTTAACGGACACGTCCCACATATGTGATACCACTGTTACCCTACTCACAAAGATTAAACTTTATATAATCTATCATATTGATCACTTAAGCATCCTTGGACACAATACTGCTACAATAAATAAAAGCAGAAGCAACAAATAGCAGTAACAAAAATTGAATACAAACTTATGTACATAGCATGGACTCAAAATCCATTAGAAAGAAAAGATATTAAATTTTTCAAGTTATTATTACAGTTATCTGCTACTTACCGCAATGTTTCTTTCAGCACAGCTCTAACCAAAGGCAATTTCTGGACATCGTGAGCAACAGGAATTTGATCTTTGCCCAGCTTGTTGACTATTTCCTCATAAACACATTGTTGAACATCTGGGTGCTTTGCCAACAAGTATGTTGCCCAGGACAAAGTAAAAGAAGTCTAAGGAAGAAACCACAATCATCATCATCAAGTACAACAAAATTAGATATAAAATAACTTCAAGTCAAGTAAAACAACCAGTTTTCAACTATATGTTTTATACTTTTAAAGTTATATAACAGACTCAAAATGATTCATATCTGGATTCAGTGAGATGTTGTAAGACTTCACCATCCCCTCCTTCATCCCTTTTCCATCTAAAAGTCCCCCATAAGCCAAAACAATCCATGTTGATATTTTCCCAGTGAAATATAAAAAGCAACAAACAAACCAAATGCAAATGCAACTATGTAAACAATATTGAAACAAACATTCTAAATAGCAATGAATTAAGTTAACTCTTAGTTTTCAATATGTGTTTTACCTTTCTCCCAACAAAAACACTTCCCAGGAACCAAGATAAGAGAATGCTAATATTTATTTAGTGTTAAAATCCTTCTTTAGCCCAGGACATGATTGGCTTCCTGGGCTGTAAGCACACATTGCCAGGTCATGTTGAGCTTCTTATACACCAACACACCCAAGTCCTTCTTGTCAGGGCTGCTCTCAATCCATTCTCCACCCAGCCTGAATTTGTGCTCAGGACTGCCCTGGCTCAGGTGCAGGACCTTGCACTTGGCCTTGTTGAACTTCATGAGGTTTGCACCATCCCACAACTGAAGCCTGTCCTGGGCGGCATCAAAATAGTACAACAAAGCTCAAGGTTATTAAACAATGTGTGGGTAAAAAAAAGCAGCTTCCAGAAATGCCTTATTTTGGTCTTATGTTTAAGATCAATTTAGAATGCATGATGTCATCATGACGGTGACCTTTTATGTCTTGCCTTCAGACTGGAGTAAAATGTTAGAAGTTCCCAGCTCCTTCATAACCTCTTAAAAATTAGCACTATTTCAGGGGCAGCCAAAATGTTTTGTAGCCAAAAACTGCCTTATAATTTTGTCGAAAGTTTCTATAATCCTCTAAACCTCTTTCAGTTTTTTTGATAAAATGAGATCTGAATTGACAGCAGAAGGAGAAAGAAAGATTCCCTCAATTTTTGCTTTGTACTTGGAAATGAGGAAATTAGAAGTACTGTTCTCTCACAAAGAGACTAGCCAGATGAGAAAGCTGAGTAAAATGGAAAGAGAAATTCTTGTTGGCATGAACTTGACCACTGTCCTTTTAGTTTAAATAAAACTCTGTTGCACACTAAAAAAAGGAAAAGTAATAGTCTGAAAGATCAGAAAATGAATGAATGGGTTTAATGACTGTACTTTACTTGGGAATAAAACATAAAAAACCTCTGCAAACTCATAAGCCCTTGGGATATTTAATCAATGGAATAATATTCAGCACATAAAGAAGTTTTATGTATGCTCCTTATTTTGGAATTCAGAAGTGATTACTTTTGGGAGTTTTGTTTTCTTTAGAAACCTTACAAACTTTCTTAAATCAAAAAAAAACTGAATTCAGTTATCCAAGTTTGGGGTTTTTTCCTAAAGGCTATTTTACTTTTTTACTTTTCTTCTACAAGACTATTAAACACAGTCCTACATAGCAATTTCTTCATCCCAGTAATATAATTCCTTTTAAAAAATTGTTCAGTTACAATCATTGACAATAACAGTATTCACTGATATTCTAAACAACTCTATACATTGTATATACAATAACTCATTTTTATCTTTCCTGAGTTTTCTGATTGTCACGTTGCAATCAATACTAAGCTCCACTGATGGGTCCCTGTAAACCACAGCTGACTCCATTCCAGTAGAGAGATTACACAGTGCAGTAAGTATTTTGTATTACTTTAAAGATGTTGTGACTTAAACATGTTAAATTATGTCCTTATAAACAATGTAACCCCTCTGAAGATATCTGCAAATTATACTGGTTTACAAAAACAACTATGCACAAGGAAAATGGTAACAAGCTTACTGTGTCCACTCCTGCCAGAAGCATTTCAGTCATATTGGCATAGATCTCTTCCAAAGAAAGGTCCTTACTCACTAGGAGGTATGTAAGTAGCCCACCATTCACTAGTTTTCCTTGGTCCAGCTGAGACTGAATAGCCTTCAATTTGTTGTTAACATGGATTTGACCTTTGGGATTCAAAAAAATTGTTAAACCTCCATTTTTATTTTTCTGCTGGTTCCATTCAATAATGACATTTGTCCCTCATGCTGCATTACACTACACAGCCAGAAGAAAAAAAAAAAAAGAGAATCTCCTTTCTCAAGTTAAAAATAACAGAGAGGTGGTGGAGGTCCTTGGGTACTCATGGTAAGGAAAGACTGAGTGGACAGGAAGAGCTCACAGCACGAGAATGCTGGGCACAAAGGAAGGACACAGGACTCTGCAGTTTCTAACAGGGAGCAAAGGAAGCTCAAGGTCAAGTTTTATGCCCACCTGATTCGTTTTCTGATGACTCTGCAAGAAGTGGTGAACTCTGCAGAGCCTGCTGCAACTCAGTACAGAGGCTGCTACGAGACATTAACAGCAACCAGAATGTTGGTGCCACAGAATTTAATTACTCTGAAGACAAAGACGGGGACCATCAAATAATAACAAAAATTGAAAAGCTTCAGGGGATGACATGCTGAGAAATTTCACCCACAGTCCCATTTTTACTTTAGAGACTACAAACATTTTTGTCAGTCCAACCAGGGAAGAATCCTCCGAAAGTTAATGCCACATAGAATGAGATAACAAAAAAATGGAAACACATGCAGCTTTCTAATATTCAGGGGGTTTGACACTCTGTAGTATTAAAAAAATAAATAAATAAAAGGTGCAAACTCCTTCTTCTTACTTACATTAACTTACATGAAAGTTGATTCATAAAGTAGACTGGAATATTTTATTAACAAAAAACACCCCCATATTTTAGTACAGCAGTGTACTTCTGTGTCACCTATGTGCTTCTGTGTATGTAAATAAACTTCACAATGAGTTTAATTCATTACTAGACCCAAACTTTTTAGCTTTCTAGTCAGTTTTAGTGGTTGGAGTGTCTACCTAAAATTTTGCTGAAGTCAACAAAACTATCCTCATTAAAATTGGAGTGACTTAAGATAAAACCTTGGCAAAGAACTTGGACCTGAAGCAATGACTGGATGTTGAAGCAGATGAGGACAAATAACAAAACAACAGCATAAAATAGGGAAGTATTTGAAGTGCACTGGTAAAATTATTTTTTGATGGAATATCTTTTATAATAGTTCCCTGGCCAGTCTGCATTTGATGTGAAACTTACTTCTGCCACAATGTCTTTTTATAATTTTAGGAGAGAAATGCATCTTGTCCCATTCAAATACACACAGAACCTTCAGAAATACAGCTGAACTTTTCTACTACTAAATCTTACTAAATTTGAAGAGTCCATCCCAGGATCTGCAGAACTCTCTCCAGGGTTTTGGAATAAGAGGACGAAGCCACTTGGGCACAGCACCTGCATACATAGTGACCTTAAACATACTAAACATCAACTCCAGAGCCTCAATGTATTCAACAGTCTGCTGTGGGATGTTGTTTTCCAGGCAGCCCAGACGGCATTCATACAGAATAGTCGCCACACCTGCACATACAAAACCAAAGAATTGGCTATACACATGCATAAACACATATTAATAATTTAAGGAATTATAATACTAACATGATGGAACCACCTTACAAGAAATGTTTAGTTATTATTACTACAGTTGGGGAACAGATAAAACAGAAATTCAAAAGACAGTAAAAAATCCCTGCTAGACATTGTAGCAGACAGAAGTTGCTATGTCAATAATGCTCTGCATGAGAAGACAACCAGGAATTCCACCAGAAGTAGAGAAGCCCTCCAGCACGCTCACTGTGTTTTGCATTGCACTAGAAATCCAGAGTCTGCCGCGTTGGCCTCTGAATCCACAAGGACATGCAAATCCAAAGACAGTTCTGATAATTGGTGACAACGCAGGAGTTTCTACCCGTGGCTGTGTCTGTCAGCAGCTGGAAGTAAATGAATACTGAATATGTATAAGTGGATAAAGAGCTTGCGCTCCAGACAGTGCTCTTAATGCACACAAGGTACTCCACCCGGCCCTGAGAAACAGTAAATGTGTGACCCTGCTACAAGTGACACCACTGACTATCTCTTATTCTGATGTGCTGTAATTTCCTCTGATTTTTTTCTGCTCCACTAGAATACCACCACCATCACCACCCCAACCCCTACCACCAAAGAGCAGTACTTTATTTATTTTTTTAATTAAATTATTATTCTTCTGAACTCTGGACGATTTCTTCCATTTATCAAGTTAATTCTTACCCATCCATTAGTGTCCTTGCAGTCTCTCAGCTCAGTTTTTGTAAACATACACAAATTATTAAATACTAGACAGAACTCAAACAAAAACTGCCCTACTGGACTTAGGCAAAATGTTCTCTCAGTTTGATAGCAAACCATTTCTTAATCACTTCCTGAACACAGGTTTCTAGCAGTTTTTCCTCCCAACTTGTGAAATCTAGATCATATTACCTAGATTATTTGTGAAAATATCATATAGTATGGTATAAAAAGTATTCCTATTATCAAAATACTCTTATTTAATAGTTTTTCTAAAAGCTAGTAGAGTTACTCAGTAATTTTAAAAGGAAATAAGATAATTTCTCAAAGCCATTTGAGTTAAATAAAATGTTTTAAAATAAAATTTTAAAATAAATTTTGTGCTTTTAATTTCTTAGTTAATAGCTTGTTCACATATTTCCAAGAAATACTATAGCTTAACTAAATAATTAGAGTAACCACTCTAGATACTCCAGTCTCTTTTTCTCTGTTTTTCCTGTTAAAACCAGGTACAATAGAGAATAACATTTAACTTTGATCTTACATACTGGTTTCCTGAACAAAGTTACAGTCTAAGTTAATTAAAACTGCAATTTGCCCCAGAAATAAGTGCATGCCAGGCACAAGTTATAAATGAAAAGCTAAAAGAATGTGAAGAATTTAAGCTAACCCATCAGTTAAAGTGAATCAGTAAGCTTAGAGTTTAAATTTCCATAAAATTGGTAACTCTTAGTTTAGTGCCAATTTCAGACACAACTAATGTGAAACAGACCAAACAGGCAGCCACAATTTGATACAGTGTCTTCATAAGCGAGCAATTTGGAAGTTCTTCAAATCCCAAATTATTCAGCTGCCTGTCAGAAAAGAGTCCCCAATTTTTTTAAAGGCATTACATATAACAAGATTGGGTTATACGCAGTCAGTTCAAGAAATGCATGAAATATGAATCAGCACTAGATTTCTGTAAGAACACAGGAAATGCCATGCTGGCTCAGGCCAGAGTTTCATTTAGCATTCCCTCATTAATGGTAGCCAGTGGCAGATGATTTTAAAGCAAGCATAACGGTCTCGACACTTGGCACATGTAGGCAGGGAAAAGCAGTATCCACAGCAGTATTCCACACTGAGCTATGAACTGAATACAGATACATCACACAGGGATTCCCCACCTGGAATTAGGCTGGTGTATTGTGCAACTAACATATCTTAGAACTCACACTGCTAGAAGGCAAACATCCTTATTCTTGGGAAATTATTAAAAAAATATGGAGTACTGAAACTTTCAAGGCTTTGATTGAACACTTTGCCTATATACCATCATTTCCATGGGAATTGTTCCTTAATATAAGGTATCATTTCTTTGGACTCTACAAAGGAATTCTACTGATACCTACTGCACTAACTAAGAGACACAAAGGCAGAATATCAAGCTTCGCTTTTCAGATCAATCACAGTGAGACACTAGTCATTTGATAGAAATGCCTAACCATAAACACACTTCTTTACATCCATTTTCTTTACAGATGTGATCCAGCCCAGGCTTACCTTCCATCGCATACTTGAAGAAAAGTTTGTTAACATTGGTTATTGTTTCCCCATCCTCCTCTTGACTTCTGAGGGTGTGGATTCTTTTAATTAAGTCTTTGATAACTTCATTGACTCCTTCAGAGTAAAAAGCCACATCTTCGGGTTTCAGAATTTTTTGCCTCAGTACACTTCTCATTTTTAACCATTGCTCCCCCTCCCTAGAAGAAATTATTAATAGTATCCATACACAATTTTCCTTAACAATCATCAGCTGGGTAAAAGCTCTGCATTGAAACTTTGTGATTTTCCATTTCAAATGAAAGCAACTGGTAAAATGAAAATTATAACAATGTGTATTTGGTATTATGCTCTTACATTTTTATCCTGCATTTATTGCACATCCTCATTAAATTTCAGTGTTGCAACATGTATGTGCATGTGTAAGTCAGTCTCTGGCTTGAGTGACAGCTGGTACCATAAATTCCATTACTGATACATCACTTTCAGCTACCCTCATTCTAAACCTACAAAGTAACAGGACAGCAGACCTACCTATAGACAAACAACTTACAGCTAGATTCTCCTTTAGCTGAGTTATGCATGGAAACCTTTGGGCTCAACACTAAAAATCTGAATTGTACCATCTGCATGACGCTCTGTATGAGTAGAGTATTTGGGAATAGTGATGCCTTTCAGTTCCTCATGAAAAAAGGCAACTGTCTTTTATGAGTTTATTTTAAATTGCTGTGTATTTCCCTTTATTTTTTTAATCTGGAGTAATGCTGCTGCAAGGCACAGAAACTTACTGAGCAGCAAAATAATTTAATCTCTTTAACAGATATTTTCTGACTATCTCCTGATTTAAGGTATGATTTCACAAAGTGTCAAGGAACTGTTAGCTTGAGTGGGAACTGCAGCTTAAGATTTGAGCCCGCAGTGCAATATGTAAGGCCTTTTGCTACCACGAAAAAAACAGATTGTCCATGACTCAGGAAATTAGTTTCCCTCTAAATAAACATACTATGTCAGTGGGTACTGTGAATAGTTCCCAGTGGCAATTAACTACACCCACATGCAGTGCCAGGTTATACAAGCTTTAAAGACAGATAACTCCTCTAGAACCAGCTGTGTACAAAAATATCTGCACGGAAAAGCACTTCAAGGTGAATTGACCATACTGTGACTTCTCTTCATTAATCTACTGAGGGCACACTTTGGTGAACAATAAAACTAAAACTATCCTGAGCATTTTTGCACAGTGCAGAGCCAAAGTTAGTAAGCCTTGTTCTGCAAAACTGCTTGCAGGTGAGTCAGTTCAGACAACTCTTTTTGAAACACATTCCTAAAGAAAGTCTTAGGCAGGGTATCTCCCTCCACATTCAAACTAACCATCATTACCATCCCTTGGAAACTTCACAAAGCAGAGAAATTCACAGCATCCACCCCACATTCCTGCCCTCTTTCCACCACTAACCAAGCGATTTTCCACACACGGAAGAGCCTGATTATCCAGATGACCTGTACAGTCCTTCAGAAAATGAGCAAACTTTTACAAGAAAACAAAGAACATGAAGGAGCAACAATACTTACGCAGAAATAAGCCCTGTGGCTCTCCCTCGTAAATCCCTGTACTCCTGCCAGGATTCCATGTTAGCTCTTTGTGGTGCTCTACCTTCTGCTCGCAGGACTTGAGCAACCATGTCTCGATCTGCAATGGATACGACAAACTGGGGACCAAAGTGAGACTTGAAGATCTTTCCATATTCTTGAGTGTGTTTTTGCTGCAATATAACCAACAAAGAGAAAGAGAAGTGAAGTATTACTAAGGAAAACTGTCACAAAAGGAAACTGACAATTTGTCATGCAGTGAATCAATCTCTCACTTTTAAAATTTGATCCTCGGCCTTTCAGTCAAGGAACAGTTTGAAGTGTCAGAAGAAAGAATCTAAGCATTACTGTGAAATATTCACAAGGAAAACAGAGAGGTCACACTGCTCAGGACCTCTGACTGAGAAGACAAAAAGCCCTAAGGCACAAAGCGTGAGTGAAACCAAATACTGAGAAGATGAAAGGACTTGGGGCATTTAAAACCACATCCCTTCAGATCAAACAGGTTAGAAAGAATGTCTGCAAAAATGAAAAACATGTGGGCACATAGGGTTAAATTAATGTCTTTTGTAAATAAATACTTACTCTATAATTTTATTGCTTATAAAAAAACCATACATGTAAGTTTCTCACACGTAAATGAGGGCAATGACAGCTTAGTGAAAAACTGCATTTTGGGGCAGCTTTGTCAGAGCAAACCAGAGAAAGACTTATGTTAATTCTGCAAAAGAAAGGAAAAAGTAAGGTCTTATTCCTGCAGTGAGGTTTATTGCGCTTAATCCACAAATCATATGACTCAAGCAACAGGCAATTAATAAAGAGGACAGGAAAACATTAAATTATGTATATAAAAAAAAAAAGAAACCCAAAAAGCTTTCTGGTAAGATTGCACTATCACTGTCCCATGAAATCTTACTGATCATTTGAAATAAATTTAATTCTGACATGGTTATAAAGTGAAACATAATTTCCACAAATTCACTTGGAGTTTAGGTACATCATCATTTCAGAGGGGGGAAAAAAACACCACACCAAAACTGCAAAGCAGTTATTAAAAAGATATTAAGACTTCAGAATTAAATGTTAAAGTCTTTATTTCTGGTTAAAGTATTAGGACAAGTTAAACTAAACAAAGTTTATGCCAAAGACATCTGCTCACAGAGTTATGTTGATTATAAACCAAAGAAATTTGACACCAACTACACTTGTGAAAGTCTAGCGTTGACCCAAGATTCACTTATGTGAAATATTTTTTAATTCAGTCTTAATTACAGAGATGAATTATTTAATTGCCTACAATAAGCTTAAGACTCATGAATCATTCTTCAGAATACGGTACCAAGTGCTTAAAAAAAATAAAACTTTTTCTGCCTAATTTCCAAATAAAACAAGATTTGTGCAATTGTGGTCTCTGCCAGTCACTTCTTTTGGAACACAATGGCCAACTTCAGTCTGGTTTAAACAGAGAGTTAAAGGTCTCCTACATCGATATTCTTACCCTTTCCAAAAATCAGCTTCTGGATTCAAATGAAACCCACATATTAGTCATCCTGATGAGGGAAATGTTACAGCAGAAACTCAGCTATTGTCATTTCTGCTTGGTCTGCTCCTAACCAAGCACCACAGGCAGAGGAATGTGTGAACAAGCACCCCCAACCCCCAAAGTATTTCTCGCCTTAAAGATATTTTAGGGATACTGAACTTGGAGATAATTGAGAGCATGCATCTTTAAAGGAAAGTATAAACAGGGAGGTGAGTGATGCAAGGGAAAAACAGCAGAGTGAGGAAATACAGGTCACCAGTCATGGAAAAACAAGTTCAACAAATTTTGCTATTTATGGAGCAGTTTGGTTTTTCCATTGATGGTGAGGTTTACATGGGACAATAAATTTCAACAGTAAATAAATCCAGTGTCAAGCTATCCAGTCAAATAAATTAAATATTAGTTTTAAACCAAAACAGGGGCAAAGTATTTGGACATCTCTTACTTTCAACAGATTGAAATCTGTTCTATCAACTTTATGTATAATGAAATGCCCAGGATTTCTCTTTTGTATTTTCTTTCACAACATGGGTTTTTCTTTCCCTTGTTCCACACCTTAAAAATATTACACTCTAGTGCCTCACATAGGAATCTCACACCAGTTATCCTTTCACACATCAGAAATTAAAACTGCCAGCACCCAAATCCCTCCTTTCTCACCTTTCTTTTCTTTACACTTACATAGCACAGATAAGAAAAAAGAGATCTAACTCCATCAAATTAAAAATACTTTCCCTTTGTCATAAGTGCTGTAGGCATTACTACTTTGGCCAGGACTAACTGGAATCATGTTACTGAGAACAGAACCTCCTTTGTGAAAAGCACCCAGCTTCCCCACCCCTTCTGCATGTAGGGTAAAAATATTTGTGTGCGCCAAAGGACATGGTCTAAGTAGCGGTGCTGGTTACCAGAGGATTTTGGATTAATTCATTCCTGATGTTCACTGTATTGTTAAATTTAACAGACTGTTATTAATCCAGTTAATGCCTATTTGCATTCTGCATGTATGCAAACAGGGTATCCCGTGATTTTTGAGACTTTAAACAGAATAAAAACTAGTATTATATTGCAACTTATGCTTATAATTCCTCACACTTTCCTTTCTGTGAATAATATTATTTAAAGAAAATAGGCATATCAGCTAGTGGTAGTGAAAAGCATATACTATTTAAATTGGTTTACATTCCTTTTTATATTTTGGATAATTTTCACTGTTTTGACAATGAAAGAACTTGAAACCAATGGTAGCATCTTTTTTAGTGTTACGAGATCATGGTTGAGTGCCCCTCAAATTCTGTACACCACCACAGAGGTGGAGGAAAAAAAAAAAAAAAGAATAGAATGAAACAAAAGCTTTAGATGTGCTGAAGTTTCATCTGCATGGGTCCTGGTTAGCAAGTACTCAAGCTGAGCAATTTTCTATTTCCTGCCTCGTTCTGGTGCTTTCAGGTCCTTTGTAAATCTTAACTTTCCAGTTTTGATTCTCAAACAATTTAAAGTTCTTTTTTCTTTTGTTTTCCTCTTCTGTTTTTATTTCCCTTTCTTTCTTTTTTTTATTTTGTTTTGTTTTGTTTGTTTGCTTGTATCTGGGGTTTTCGGGTTTTTTTCTTAAATTTCAGCAATTTTCAGGCAGTGAACCTCTTGCAGCTGACTCTGAATCTCTTTCTGGCAATTTGGGAAAGCAAAGAAAAGCAAACTAAGCAAAACTAAGAAAAGCAAAATAATAAGTGCCACATCTGAGGTATTCCCAGAGAAATCTGTACTGCCAGTGGAAAGCATTACAGATCCACAGCTGCAAAAGAGTGAAAACCACAGCTTTACTCTTTCACACACAAGTGGTTCCTTTAGAATAGCTTGGACTATGAGGGGAAAGGGCCCCAGGAGATGCACTGTGACTTTTTAGGAATGAAACCCACATGTTTGGCCAAGCAACCAAAAGAATTCATCTCTGGATAGCTACAGTCTTACGGTAAGACTGTTGCCCATGCCAGCATCCCCGAGGCGCTGCGCAGGGGAAGGGGGACCCTCGTCCACCCAACTCCCGCAGGGGTGACGGCGCCTCACCCACCCTCGCCAGGTGCCACCGGGGAAGGGGACATGGTATGATCTGTGTGACACCACAGCAGAGGAGGTGCCCAAACCAGGGGACGCTTTTCACCCCCACCCGGCTCTGCTTCGTTTGAGCGTCTCCCACCCGCCAGGTAACCGGAGCCGCTCTTCATCCTCCCTCCTCCTCTCCCCTCCCGCCGCCAATCCGGCCCCGCTTCCCACCGTCCTCTCCCCTGCCCCGCGCCAGTGGAGTGGCCAGTGGAGGGGCAGTTCCAGCCGCCGACATTCCCGGCCCCCTGTCCCGCACCCCCGGGAGGTTTCAAACCGCCCGCCTCCTGCCGAAGGGACGGCAGCGGGGCCAGGCGCAAACACCGCCCCCTCAGGGGACCCGCATGGGCGAAGTGTATTTATGTAATGGGAGGCTGGAGTAGCAGAGACAAAATGGTCTCTGAAAGCAGCGGAGCAGCGCCGGGCCGGGCCGGGCCCCCCTCGCAGCCCCTGAGCCGCGGCCAGACCCGCAGCGGCACAGCCTCACCGCACGGGTGGGCGCCGCTGTACGAAACTCCAGAGAAGCTCACGCTTCTCAGCCCTACCAGCCAAAAATAAGCCCTCTACAAGTTAGTGAAACGGCTCTGTTCCAAAAAAAAAAAAAAAAAAAAAGCGCCTTTTTCTTTTTTTTAACTGATTTTTTCCTTTCAGCCCGAGGCGCCGCCCCAGCGGTTCCCAACGCCTACCAAGATGCGCGGGCAGCGCTTGCAGCCCGGGGGATCCGGAGCGGGAGGCACCGGGGCACTGGGGGCCAGGGCAAAGCCAAAGCCTCCAGTGTTGTGGGAACGGGACGGGGGATCCCCTGAATCGCGGCTCTCACCAGCGCGAAGGCGGCGCGGCGATGCCCAGCAGCGGTGCTGCCAACGCGGTGATTGACCCGGAGAGAAAAGTAAAGGTTTTAAGTAACCCTGCCGTGATTAAAGCGTTAAAATGAGCCAGTGAGCTGTACCTGGATTTCATGAATGCGGCCGAAACCGTCCTTCCAGAAGAACTCGTAGAGGTTGTAGAGGGTGCTTGGTCCGGGCATTTCATGCAGGCTCTTCACCCGGCCCAGGCGGTGCCGGGGAGGCTCCAGCAGCTCCGCTCCGCTCCCCTCACCTTTGTTCGCCGCCTCTTCCTGCGGGCTGCTCCGCACCGCCAGGCTGCTGCACAGCCTGGGCAGCCCGGGAAACCTGCTGCTGGCAAAAAGCGCCTGGTAAAAGTACATCCTCTTGGATTCAATCGTCTGCTTGCATTTCATCGTCAAAATTCTGGTGGAGAAGGACATGGTCTTTCAATTTCAGAAGGGTCAACTTTGCTCCTGCAGCTGGTTTTTATTTGCTTGGTCTTTCTTCAGTGCCTGCTTTAACTTGTACAAGCAGCACTTCTCCAAACTCTTACTGCATGAGCATCAGTTTACATAGACCATTAGTTAGAGCTCCCTCCCCTAGGGCTGGAAAAGGGGGGTGGGTCTGGGATGAAACTTGAATAGAACGAACCTATTATTTTGTATAATTCAAACCAGATAAATTTATCCATTATACATGCAGCCAAAGTTCGGTTTTTCCCTCTTTCCCTGCTTAGTTTGGCAAAAAGCTCATCCCATCTTTCTCCTACATTAAGAAGGTGGGGTTAGGGCTATTTTTTTCTGGGGTATTAATTCATCCCTGTATGTTAGAAAACAGGATATTTTCTGCAAGAAGTTCTCTTAGAACTGTTCATCATCCCACAACATATATGGAAAACATTTGTGCATCCACATATGAGTAGCAATGGTTTTACACAGTCACCTTTCAAACAGTTCCCATAAACTACAGTATGCAAGGATGTTCTTTGTATTGCATAATCATTTATCTTTGGGATGTGATATACTCCATAAGCAGCTTGTGTCAACTTTGTAGGAGTCTGCACAGTTTCAAAAGTGTGTTGTTTTATGTGCATTTCTGTGTAATTCCAGGTGTGCTGGTGATAATCTGTAAAATGTTGATTAGTTTCAGAAATTATGTGGAAGAGCCCACCTTGTTTTTTAAATGAATAAGCTCAGGTAAAACTTGAGGGAAAAAAAGAGTCTCAAGTAAAATCCACATTTTCAGAACTTAGTTATGAATAAACTGCTGGAAAAGTTTTCCCCCCTTATTTATCTTCATTTATATTTTTGAGGCTGCAATCCAATTAGGATCCGTGCATACACTTACTCTTGCCACTAATAACTCCATTGAAATAAATAACTGAGGAGTTAGGCAAGTGCATCAGTCTTTATAAATGCAACTGTAAATATTACAAAAATAAAAGGTATATGGTAAAGTCTTAAAAGCTGTTAAAGTATATGCTGACTTAAGCTAACATAATGTCTTTGAAAGGGGCTTCATCATACCTGAAAGGGTCCAGAGAACAGCAACAGGAAAAAAAATGAGAAGGTTAAAAAAATTAGGTAAGCAGGAGGTTAAGAAACTTATTTAATCTGGAAAAGAGGACTATCAGGACCATGACAACAGCCTACAGATTGTACATCTTTTGTTAAAAAAGGTGCATGTCTGAGAGAAAAACATAAAATAATGGGCTTAGTTCACAGCTACAGATTTCTGGTGTCTTTTTCAAGTAGCCTCGGTACCTCAGATATTTTTGGGATGTCTCAGATAGATAGCCAAGGTATTGCAGGACGTTAATTGCTATCAGGGAACTTTCTAAGAACTTCATAAGAACCTGTCAGGCAATTCTGGGTGTATCACAGTCTAGGTTATCTCTGAAGTTTTCCTTCTTAGTTTTCTATGTGATGTAGCTACGTTGTTTCTTTAATATTGGTCTAAGGATGCTTTCCGAGAGACAGTTACACAGATTTTAAAATTATATTAATATTGTAATTTCTAGATTGATGGAGGGAATATACAAACTCTTCCTAAAAACTCCTGCTTGCAGCTATCAGTATGGTCGATTTTTTTTTATTAATTATTATTTTGTCATACACCATTAGGATAGTGTAAAGCATCTGCTTGTATTAATATGCTAGTGAGACAGATACATCGTGTTGCAAAGGCTACAGTTTTGCAACTATTGTAGCTTTCTCTGGGTGTACCTTTTCCCAGTTATTCCCTATTTGGAATTCTTTACTATTGATGATTTTCCCATCATTATCTGTTTTCCATCAAAATTATTGTAGGACAGAGTGTTTCTATCCAAGATACTTGAACAAGTTGCAGAGGTTTTGTCCTATAGCTACTTCACCAGAACAGTACCTGCTTCCCCCCTGAGGAATTTCTGGAGGTGGCAGTAGTCCCAGTTTAGGGACTGTGTTGTTTAACCCCACTGGCACTCAGTGTTCTAGGTCGTTTACTTATTGTTAGATTTCTGTTTGTTTGTGTGATCATGTGACTTGGAAGATAAATATTTCTCCTACAACCTACCAGCTTATACACTTATCAGATGTCTTAACACTGACCCGGAAACATACTCACAGTTTTTTAAATATAAACAATGACATTTGTCTCAGCCTGTTGGTCATTGGAGTCTGAAAATATTTTTTCATGTAACAAGTCAGTTGTGTCTTTTATTATTTCAAACAAGTTGGAGCATATGCCCCTTCTCAGCAGATACGCTTCAATTTTAGTTAACTTTTGGTGTCTAATGGGATCACAGTATAAACTAAACTTGGCTATTCAGATTATGTATTATTTTTGGATAATTTGTCTTCACATCTGCAGTCATGCTGTTCTCTCGGTCTAGACCCCCTACTGGTCTGCTTAATTGTACTTTGTTACCTTCGTTTAATTATTTCTAAACCAAAATTAAACTTGCCCTCCTCTATTCTTGAATTCTGACAATGTTCAGTTGAAGCTCTTTGTGTCAATAACATCGGTATTCAGAGTCAATGGTTACATTATCATCTTACAAGGAATTCTGGTTTTTTTTAGAATTATTCTCACCTTTTAACAGTGTTGGCTATATCTGGCTTGTAATTATTTGAACATCATTTTATGATATCCAGTATAATAAATTTTGTACTGTTTTACATAACTGTTTAAATACCTACGAGTATAAATCATCTACAAATACAGTTTATGGAAGTAAAGGAGATTTGATCAGAGGTGTTTAACTTTGCCCAAGTAACACCCTCAGTCAAGACTATACAGACAGGCTCTTCAGAACGTTTGTAAAGAAGGAAAGCTGAAGAAGGGCCAAAATGTCAGAAATTAAAGCAAAAATCTTCAGTGTGGTTTAAAACACCTCTTCACTAAAAAAAGTCACAGTTAGTCACAATTTTTGCCATTTCTGACTGTCCTCAAACCCATCTTCTGAAAGGTCTTTTCAAGTTGTGAAGTTACTCCTTTGGAATTTTAAATGCTTTCTAAAATTCCCATGCTTTTTCCAGAAAAGGGGAAAGAATTTGAACTTAACATGTGAAATACTAACTGAATATGAAGATACTTAAATCAGAAAGAGCTAACAGTGCCAGGTGTTGATAGAACTTAACAAAAACCCCATGAAGCAACTGTAAAGACTTCAGCCCTACTTGTAGACTTCTCAATAGGTTTAGATCCTTGACCTGTGATTCCTACGGTGTACAACACTAAGTTATCCTGAGAACTTGCCTTGAAGTCCAATGTTTTTGAACACACTAGAAAGAAGTATGGCACTGCTAAAATTGATGACCATCAGGAGCGTGTAAGGAGCCAGAGAGACACAAGCTGGGTGTAGTTTGGTCTTTGCTGAGCTGTAGTGCTGCTGAAAATGCCACCCCGTGGTGACTGTGCCCTTCTAGTCTAGAAGGTCATTTCAGTGAGTAACAGCAGCACCCTTCAAGCATTTATGCCTTCACACAGACACACTTGGTGCTTTGCCACAAGGATGAACAGCACAGGTGCTACCTTGTGCAGCAGCAACTCATCTGCAGTGAGTAAATGCATACCAGTCTGCCACTTGCAGCTTCAGTCTGGAGTAACAGCAGGTGGTAATTACTGCAGTTAATCATATCAAAATAATTAATCTTAAAGTTTGAACACCAAGATGCTATCACTGATGAATGGAGTCATTCATACCTCATAAAATTACTGTGCTTTACTTGATGGTGAATGTACTGCATCCCACACAGACCTATTACTTAGAAGAGTAAGATCATTAGTCATCATGGCCATGATTTACTACACAAGAACTAGAGTGCTGTCCTAAATCCAGCTAATACTAGTACTACAATTACAGAAATCGATATTAAACCATTTCCACATTTAGCAGGTTTTTTTCCAAGTGTATGAAGGGTGCAGAATAGTTCCGAAGCAATTAATAAAGTCTGTTAAGAAAGAATTATGCAGAGGGATGCTGGCTGACTTGCTCAGCTATCCCACTGTCACAAGCCCTCCCATTACACTAAATTATCATTTTGCTACTAACTGTTGCCACTAGAGCTGGTCCAAACTACCATCAGAAGTAAATAATGTTTTCAACTGGGGAGAGGAAATCAGCACCACAATACTGCACATTCACCTCTTCCATATAAGCCACTCAAGCACTGGCTCGTTCCAGTTTGAGGCAGAAGACTCAGCACAACCGAAAGAATCATGTGTTACAGGGTAGGGCTCTGAACCCAAACAGTGTTTAAACTGAAGCAATTCAGTTTCCCTTTTCAAAATTACCTGATTCTCAGACTGACAATAAGCACCATTTGTTCTGAATTCTGCTTCCAGTATTTCTACACCCTCGATTTGTGAATTCATGCAATAAGAAACAGAATCAGTTTTTCTGGAGCACATTTTTCATATAACCAGGATAGCTGTACCATATACGCTCCTTCCAGTATGGTAAATATTTATACTAACTAACCTATTTTGAACAAACACATCAAGATCAATGCTCTTTCATAGGTTGTTCCTAAAGCTCTACTAACTATCAGCAAAAAAACCCCACCTCATAATACACCACCACGTAGTGTAGCTGTTACAGTATTAAGCAGATGTTATTTAAAAAGCATTCTGTAGCCACAACCAACCATCATTCCTCCTCTAATTTTCTAGAATTATATTGCAGTCTTCATTAAAAAAAACCCCCAAACTCAGGGTTTTTCCTTCACACATTCTTCCAACTGCCCTTGTTAGAAGTCAAAATGCATTTTGATTCAGTACTAACTTCTGTGGTGACACTGCACTGTTTAGCAGCTACAATGGTTTTACTGCATGGTTAATAAATAGAAAACAAATGACAAGGGAAACAGCTTTTATTTTAGCAACTTCTCAACAAGTAACAAGAAAATGAGGAAAACAGAGCACAGACTTTACCTGTATTTACTAATGCTTTCCTTGAGTTTACTTTGGAAACAGAGTCTCTCTTTCTTGTCTTCAAACTTCAAAATATTTCTGACCAATTTGT